TTTAAATATTAATTTAGTTTTAATTTGATAAAATTAAATATTAATCTACTATTAATTTGATTGAATTTAATGTTAATTGAATAAATTTGAATGTTGTTTTAATAAAATTGAATGTTCATTTGGTGTTAAATTAAAAAAAATGACATTAATTTGGTAAAATTAAATTTTAAGTTAATGGAATTTAATATACTATTTAATAAATTAAATATTTTAATTTAATAAAATTGAATGTCAATTTGATGTTAATTTGATAAAAATAAATAATAACTTAATATTAAATTAAAGAAATAATATTAATTTGATGAAATGAAATATTAAATTAATATAACTAAATACTAATTTGATAAAATTAAATATCAATTTTGTGTTGATTTGATGAGATGAAATGTTAATTTAGTTTAAATTAAATAAAAAAATTTAATTTAATAAAACTGAATATTAAATTGATCAAAATAAAGGCTAATATAATATAAAAAAAAAAAAAAAAAAGGAATGCATTGAAATTTCAAAATCAAGAGAGGGTATTGTTAAAGTTAGGTCTATTTACGAGGGTATTATTAAAGTTAAACTTATTTATAAGGATGTGGATAAAATTTACCCTATAAAATATTTGGGGATATTTCTATAAGTCAACCATTGTCATTAACGTTGTAACCTGAGAATCACTAACAGAGATTGACAACGAAATTTTAAAATCGGAAGAAGGTGTCATTGAATTTAGACCTAACTAAAGGGGATCTAGATAAAATTTTCTCTTATATCTATACAAATCTATATAATAAAACACATAGAAAGTTGAATTTTATCCCCTATGCTGCTATACATTTTCCCCCCAAATTCATCACATCACTAATTTGTATCACATACTCAACCATTCAGATATTATTCATACACGATAGTATAGATCTGTTAAAAAAATTTATCCAATTTCATATTTTAAGAAAATTTTGTCAATATTTATAAGAAAATAATAAGTAAAAATAAATTTTGAATGATTTAATCAAATAAATTAAAGAAAGAAAAATTATTATTTAATATAGTGATATCAATTTTTTAAGATTCGAATTTTTTGTTCTATCATCCTTTCAGCTTCGGCCACGGATAATGACCAGTATTCTAATATTATGCCAGCTTTTATTGGATGTGTGTACATATTTATAACTCACTCAAAAGTTTTTCCACATTCACCTATATTCTTTAATGATTCCCACTGTGGTGGCTCATAGGCTAGTCAAAGTGTCACATAAGTGAATTTAAGTGAGACTTTAAGAGATTTGAGTAATAAACGGATTAACTTGTTTATTACATTTAATAAATAAATCATGTTTGGGTGAGTTATGTCAATCCATTTAAATAAAATTAAGATAATAATAAATTAATAATTATTTTAAAAAATTAGACAAATTACTTTTTTAATGACAGCCACATAAAATATATATATTTGTGATAGCCACATAATTTTATTTTATTTTTTGATTTAGTGAGTTAGAAAAAATATAATAATAAATTAAAATTAAACGGGTTAAACGAGTCGTGTTACTCGTTTATTAAACGATTTGTATTCGTGTTAAAATTTTTCACCCGTCACCGATTTAACCCGATACGTAACCGTTTAATCCAACACGTTTAACACCCTTAATGGCAGATTGACACCTTTTACAAAACAAACTTCGATTTGCAATGTGAAACTAATTAGCAAGTAATCTGTTTTTATGTTACTGGATTATATTCCCCTTACGAAATTATCATGAATAACCAAATTTAGTTTTCAATTCCAAAATTTTTAGCAGAGCACGAAATCAGTAACAAGTGCATGGCTAAAGATTGCAAACCAGAACCAAAGTCAACCAAAACCAACACAAACCAAACATACAAACCTTAATCACTTAAAAGTAGAAATCTGCTAGCAAAATTCTATCTTTATCCCCATCTAAAAGTAATATTTATGTCATATATAATTGTGTTAATTAGGAAGGTTGCTTAGAATATGCATAACCCTTATTACTTGAAGCACATACTTGCTACCAAAATTCTATCTTTTCTGTCCTCTTTAAGATTAAAAAAAAAAGAGGGCAATCAAGCTTTATGTCTTCCTCAAGCATATAAATTATAGTCATGTTCATACCAAAGTAGCAGCAGGTAAGCCCAATAATTAGCAGTAAACAAAAAGCAAGAAAAGCCAAAACCTTTAAAAAGCGAAGGCTGCAACCACCAACTTCAACAATAATATGTTTCACTTTATTCTAGAATCCAATCCACCCTCCTCCCTCAACCCAATCCAGCCTGTTTCTACCATAAACCTCCAAATAATTTCATGCCCAAACCACTTTCCTAACTCGACCCTCCCCCCCTTCTTCTTTCTCTCTTAAACAAACTAAACCCATGAAATCAGAAGACCAAAAAACAAGTTCAAATCCAAACCGGGTTCAGTTCAGAACCTCTGTACCCTATCACCCTTGACCAGCGGATTAGCCTTGGCAATGGCTTCCTTTCCAAGCCCCTTGTAATCGATCGAGCACTCGTGCTTTTCGGGGTACCTATGGGTCCCACAGAAAGTCTTTCCGCACCTACACAGGAACCCAAAAACCCCCACCTTCTTATTACAACTCAAACACCTATTCGCCATCATAGGTTCACCACTCTCAACCAACGGCAATGATTCAGCCACAGAAGTCGACGTCCCCACGGTGGTCTGTAAATTAATCCCATCAGGAACAGCCGATTGATTCTGATTCTGAATCACCAGTTTCCCCATAGCCGCCATAGCCGAAGCTGCTTGCTGTTCGTTGTTTCGTAAATCCCTGTAACACTTGGAACATAGATTCATCGTCGCCGCCGTGCCGAAAAAGCCACAACCCTTAGCGCATAGTGCCGGCTCCGATGGTTGGAACTCCATGTCATCGCTGATCTTGTTCCCTTCAGAACCCATTTCTCTCTCTGTCTCTCTTTCTCTCTTCGAGTCGAACCCTAGGAGTTTGTGTTGAAAATTTCTTCGTCTTTGTAGTTTGTGTCTACAGAGTCAAGAAAAAAAAGAACGATTATATAATGCGACAATGTGAAACTATCGCTTATTTATAAGGCTTCGTTTGGACAAAAGTCTTTATAATGACGATGGTTTTTAGTGTAATGACTAATATATCCTCCAACTTGTACGCTAAGCAACCAAAATAAGAAATTAATAAGGTTGTTTTCAATGTAAATAAAATTGAAATAGGGGTATTAATGTCAAAAAAATAATTACGATGCCTTCTTTTTCCACCCGCTTTATTTGTCATAGAAAGTTTAGGAAATCGGGTGCGACTCAAAAAGACAACATTACCCTCATAAATCTGTCTGACTAAATTACAAATAAGGAGGGCATGCCACATTCGAGGCCATTCTCGAAACATCCATAGCATTTCCGCAAGTCACCCGACCAATACACTTTTTTTTTTCCAATTATATCCCAACCGTCCAATTTGCATACTTCGAAAAATCAAACGGCTTACAATGAATTCAAAACACTAGAAAATCTTAAGAGATTTTTAATTTTTAAGATTAATGACACTAGAAATCCCCTATGAAATTTATTTCATTTTAATCTTTAATATTTTATTTATATTATTTTAATTCCCAATATTTTAATTGTATAAGTTTAATCTCTGAAATATTGAATATTAGTCATTGTCCATGTTTGAAGACACTATGTTAATTACTTATAAAATTTCAATACACAACAATAGGATGTTTAAATAATTTAACATAACGATTCAATTGGTTTTGAATATTTTTTGTTAGTGCAATTGATATCTTATTTTATTTTATTTTTGTGTTAGTCACCTATTTTTTTTAAATTACTGATTAGCTTGGGCTTTGAATTTTTTTTTTTTTTTTTGAGAATTATAGGTTTTTATACTGTAGTAATTTATCTTTTATATGAATAATAAATTAATATTTTTATTCATAGATTATAAAGACAATTTAAACTTCAATGATCGATAACAAGTAAGAATTAAACATCAACCACCGGTACTAAGATGCAAGATAAGAAGATTTATTTATAGTATACTCTAACTATGAATCAGTTTGTAATAAAAAAGATGAAAAATTATATAGTTAGTATATAATGGTTTTTAATGAAATATTATACTAAAGATTTTGACAAAATCGATATACTAAATAACTTATACGCCCAAAAATGGTGATATTGTCTATTTAGATACTGATTTTTGTGTTGTAGTGATGGTGTGTATGAGGTTACTAGGGTCAAACGTAAACTGGAAAACCTTGAAAAAAGAAGCACTAAACTTATAAATATTATTTATTTTATGTGTGTTTAATAAAAATATTTTAATTTTATGTAAAATTTTATTGTAAAATTAGAAATAAAACAAAACCAACATAAATTAAGGTACAAACAATACACTTTTAATATATAACATTTAACAACAATTTGTTAATGACAATACATCCACAACTAAACCACACTAACATTAAAAATTAAAAACAACAAACTATTGTCAAAGCATATACTACTAACCAACACGAAAAAATCATCAATATTCATAAACACGCATAAATGTTAAATATTTGGTAACTGCACAGTTATAAAAATTAAACATAAAATATTTGATAATTATCCAGTTATAAAAATTAAACATAAAAAATAATCAACATAAAATAATAAGTTGTTTTGCCATTAACAAAATTTATAATTTATATTCTTTTAATTAATCATTTATGACAATCAATAATATGTTTTGTTCACTTTCAATAAAAATTAAATTTTTGAAAACTATAAGTGTTCATGTAATTCTGATATGAATAATAGTTCGAAAGTTTTACTTATGGATTGAATATTTGTATTTTTTGTTTGTGTGAAAGTGGTAATGACGATTAGATTAATTTTGAATTTTTTTTTTGTGTAATTGATAATACTTGTTATTCTTTATTGGTCACTTATTTTTTTTATTGTTGATTAGATTAGACTTTGGTTTTTTTTTTTTTCATTATTGACATACAGTTAAGTCTAATTATAGTTGTCAGATCAAAAGCCTGAAAATGATCTGAGACACAAAAAATTTAAGACAAACAACATTAGTTATTTTATTGTGTAGATATATCTATATAATAAAACAGGAGTGTGTTTGAATTTTATTCCAGTCATATTTTCTACCTTAAAACCATCATCAATCACTTACCTCACTCATCGTCCCTTTATCAGACTCAAACGTCAAATCACATCACTCATTTCTATAACATATTTAATTATTTAGGGTTAATCTCATTTTGCACCCCGAAAGATCGTTTGAATCTCAATTTACACCCCCAAAGATTAAAAATCTCAATTTGCACCCTCAAAGATAGAAATTTGTATCAATGTACACCCCCAAAGATCAAAAATCTCAATTTACACCCTCAAAGATAGAAAATTGTATCAATGTACACCCCCAAAGATCAAAAATCTCAATTTGCACCCTCAAAGATAGAAATCTGTATTAATGTGCACCTAAAACTAAATTGATAAATTATACCTAGATCCCCTCATGTTTGTCACTTAATCATTTGAACCCCTTCACATTTAGAATATTACCCCTACATCTCATGACGTTTGTACATGTGTAAACATAACCACTTTTCGTTGATATCTATTAATATAATCGTTAAAAAATATGATTTTATCCTAATAAAAAATTATAATTTCATATTACCCTTTATTTTGTGGATTCGATATACTCTAAAGTTCAAAATCAAGCTTACCATTTGAATGTCTAATAGAATGTAGATATTTATAAAAAGGAAAATATGAAAAACATTATATAAATATCTACATTTTATTAGACATTCAAATGGTAAGCTTGATTTTGAACTTTAGAGTATATTGGACCCATAAAATAAGGGTAATATGAAATTATAATTTTTTATTAGGATAAAATTATATTTTTTAACGGTTATATTAACAGATATCAATGAAAATGGATTACATGTTGTACGTACATAAATGTCATGAGATGTATGAGTAATATTCTAAATGTAAAGAGGCCCAAATGATTAAGTGACAAACATGAAAGGATCTAAGTATAATTTATCAATTTAGTTTGGGTTACATGTTGTACATGCATAAATGTCATGAGATATAGGAGTAATATTCTAAATGTTAAGAGGTCCAAATGATTAAGTGACAAACATAAGAGGATCTAGGTATAATTTATCAATTTAGTTTTAGGTGCATAATGATACAAATTTCTATATTTGAGAGTGCAAATTGAGATTTTTTATCTTTGGGGTGCACATTGATATAAATTTCTGTCTTTGAGGGTGCAAATTGAGATTTTTGATTTTTGGGGGTGTACATTGATACAAATTTTTATCTTTGAGGGTGCAAATTGAGATTTTTACTCTTTGAGAGTACAAATTGAAATTCGAACTATCTTTCAGGGTGTAAAATAAGATTAACCCAATTATTTATATATTTTTTCTCCCTAAAAATATCACACTATTTATTTCTATTATACATTTAATCATTTAATATTTAATTAATTTATAATTAATATATTTTTGAAAAAATTTAATATAATGAGATCTATTTTTTGAACGCTCAAATTTTATATTTTATCGTACTTTCAGGCACGGGTTATAACTAATCGTTTAATAATACACAACCTAATAGATAAGAGTAGTTATTTAAAAAAATAAGAACGATTATATCACGTAATAATACTAATGTGTTGTAATCTTTAAATAGTTTCTTATAGAAGAAGAGAACAAGCGAAGAGAAAGAGAGAGAGAAATGCATAAGAGATTTTATCTTATTTATTTAGGTGGTTATTAAAGTTATTTTGTTCTCATTGTTAACAGAGGCAATGATTTTGCCACTATTTCTGATTATGAGGGAGGATTAGAGACTGGACTACATGGATGTAAAGTGATATATTTTAGTGTTCATTTCATTTTGTGCCATTACGATATAATATTCATCTTTTATAAATTTAATTTTTTTTTAAATTAATATTGCGAGTTAATAACAGCCGTCTCCCACAATATAATAAAGCAGTTTGACAATATCACCACCAATCCATGTCCTTGATGGTGCGGTTCAGTTAAGAATAATAAGCAGATGGGTGTGAAATGAGCGGATAAAGTAGCCAACGCCCGGTCATACCCACCTAATCTTGTTTATTTTATTTTATTTGATCAAACACCCCCTAATCTTGTATATATATATATAGAGAGAGAGTAGAGATAAAATAATGTATTTAAAACGTCTAAGATAAAGAGATATATATGAGATATTCGAGTGCTAGAGTTAAATCATATTATAACCGTCGGATTAGTATTTATGAGATGATCTACATTGTCTTTTATGTTAGAATTACATTATTCGTTGGATGTGTTTATATTTTGTCTAAAAACGATCTGAACTTCTCTTTGTTTACAAAATTCAAATTCAATTCTATTTTATTATATAAATATTGTTTTTTCACTCAAAAAGACAAGGTCCATACTACTAAAAATTTTAAGTTATAAACTTATTACATGATATTTAAATATAGATAAAAAATAAATTAAATAACTCTTAATCAAATTTTTACTTAAATTTTGGACAAATATCTACTTAAATTAAATAATTTTGGTTATGAACTATCTTAATAGTTACCAAAATTACACATTTTGGGTCATGGCTACCCAAATTTTAAGGTTAAAGATTTACCTAAATTACATAATTTTGGACAAAGATCTACCAAAATTATATAATTTTGGTCCTGAGTTATTCAAATTTAAGTGAAGAGTTACCAAAATAATACATTTTTAGATAAGAACTATCCCATTTATTTTTTTATCTATATTTAAATTAATAATAAAAAATTATTAATTACATATTCAATAGAGACTAAAATAATACAATTGAAATATTGAGAATTCAAATAAGACAAATTTTATAACTCGAAA